TCATAGGGAAATATAACTGGTGTTTAAGACCCTAGTTTATGATGATGATATTTAATAATTTGTACTTATGTAGCATCAGTCAGTTCAGTTCAGTTGCTCAGTCGTATCTGACTCTTTGAGACCCCATGAATCGCAGCACACCAGGCCTCCCTGTCCATCACAAACTCCCGGAGCTTACTCAATCTCATGCCCGTCGAGTCGGTGATGCCATCCAGCCATCTCATCCTCTGTCGTCCCCTTCTCCTCCTGCCCCCAATCCCTCCAAGCATCAGGGTCTTTTCAAATGAGTCAATTCTTCGCATCAGGTGGCCAAAGTATTCGAGTTTCAGCTTCAACATCAGTCCTTCCAATGAATATTCAGGACTGATCTACTTTAGGAAGGACTGGTTGGATCTCCTTGCAGTCCAAGGGACTCTCAAGAGTCTTCTCCAACACCACAGTTCAAAAGCATCAATTTTTCAGCACTCAGCTTTCTTCACAGTCCAACTCTCACATCCATACATGACCACTGGAAAAACCATAGCCGTGACCAGACAGACCTTCGTTGGCAAAAAATATCTCTGCTTTTTAATATGCTATCTAGGTTGGTCATAACTTTCCTTCCAAGGAGTAAGCATCTTTTAATTTCATGGCTGCAGTCACCATCTGCAGTGATTTTGGAGCCCAAGAAAATAGAGTCTGACACTGTTTCCACTGTCTCCCCATCTATTTCCCATGGGAATACCAGACCACCTGACCGGCCTCTTGAAAAACCTGTATGCAGGTCAGGAAGCAACAGTTAGAACTGGACATGGAACAACAGACTGGTTCCAAATAGGAAAAGGAGTATGTCAAGACTGTATATTGTCACCCTGCTTATTTAACTTATATGCAGAGTACATCACGAGAAACGCTGGACTGGAAGAAGCACAAGCTGGAATTAAGACTGCCGGGAGAAATATCAATAACCTCAGATACACAGATGACACCACCCTTATGGCAGAAAGTGAAGAGGAACTAAAAAGCCTCTTGATGAAAGTGAAAGAGGAGAGTGAGAAAGTTGGCTTAAAACTCAACATTCAGAAACCTAAGATCATGGCATCTGGTCCCATGATTTCATGGCAAATAGCTCTTTTTTCTCCAAGGTTTTAGCTTCTCTGAAGATTTTTATATTGACCAGAAAAATAGAATTCTGCATCTAGAAATCCCTCCAAGTCAATGTCCTCTTGTTAGTCTGGGTTGGGTGTAGGATTTGGCAGTTCCGATTAATAACAAGGTTCAGACTGCTATCAAGTGGCCAGCAGAAAATAGGAATAAATCAGATGCTGGGCTTGTTTCTGACTCGAGCTTTGGGATCTCACTGAGGGAGGAAAGACCACACTCCAGCGAGATTCTTCACAGGTGTATGGTCATTTAACCCTCCTCACAGGGTCCAAGCAAACCTATCCTGTGGCATACCAAAATCCTGGGAAACTGGAGTAAAACATTTGTGCCTGAGTCTTGCACCTTCTCCCCCTCCCCTTTCCCAACGTGGATGCTTTAAAAAACTGGACTGCTAATATCAGGAGGTATCCCTTACTAACAAAGGCAATGGCGTCAGGGGCCCTGATCATGACTCTCCAAGTCTCAGGAGCCAACAGGCACCAAAAGGGCCGGAGCTCCGCCCCAAGAATCCTTAGGACATCACTCTTAGGACTCATCAGAAGAGTCGTCGTTTTCTCAACTGTCAAATATCAGGCCCCAGACACTCACTTGGCCAAAATAACCCTAATGAGGTTGCTGGCCATTTCAATAGTACAGCTCATCATCTCTCTTTACCTTCTGCTCCCTAACTTTGCTCAACCAATGACTGTCTAAACCTTCTGCTCGCTAAAGATCCTCAGGTGATGACACAGAAGCAATGCAACTGAAGAAGACCCGAGAAACTGAAAAGAAGACCTGGCTTCCTTTAATTCTTTGAAAAATAAGTCCTCTATCACTCAGCTAAAATTTACAGAAGGAAAACATAAAAAGAATTTCCAAGTTTCTTTTTTTTGCATTTTGGGGGAGGACGGTAGCACAGACTACAGCTGAGCCCACAGTTGTACATGAAAGTTAATATTTCCAGGGCCCTGCGTGGGATACCTTTCCCAGAATTCATGTTCTCAATGGGAAACTGAAATAGCGTGTGAGAGTTACCCTAAGTAGATTTAAATAATTAAATTCAAAAATTCTCAAACCACTTGCTGTTTCAAATTTATTTCTTTAATAACAACTCAGACTCAGCAACAGACTGGATTAAGGTTTCATTTATTCGAAATTTAAGGTATATCCAGCTCTGAGTGTTGTTTTTAAGTATTTAAGGGGAAATTTGTGCACGGTGAAAATGAAGAGACTGCAGCATTATAAATTCATTTCCTCTATTAGAATCAGGGCCGCGCCTGCCCACTGCAGCTGTTCTGGAGGCAGGGCCGCCGGGCTGGAGGGTGCACCCCGGCAGCAGACCACCCTTTGTTTCCCCAGAGAGGAGACTTGGCCGGCCCCACACCCTTCACAGGAACTATTTCCTCAGTGGCGCCAGGCAGTTGGGCAGGATCATCTGGTGTGGTTTTCATGTGGCAAAGCAAAAAATCCTCTGGGATTCCAGGGTGACTTCTAAGGATCCACTTTCATCCGTGACCTCAAACCCTGCCTTGCACCAGGCCCCAAAGATGGGAGGTCACTCTGGCCTAAGCAGGATTCACTGACCTCTGAAACCACCCTCCCTGATCCATCCAGCTAAAGCCGAGAGCAACTCAGAAAACAGGTGTTACATGGCAGGTAACAGCCCCACGATACTTACTATTCATGCTAACAATTTTACAAACAAGTGAGTTTCTTATACATTCATCGCCACCCCCAGGCATTCATATTCTTTTTAAGTACAGAAACCTTAATTAGATTTTGACCACAGACCCGGATTTGACTTACCCTGACAGGGTTTCCATTAGTGTAATCTGTGGGGGAATTCACTGTTTTAACATCTGTGTGCCTGAGGCCTATCTCACATTTACTGCAAAACTCTGAAAAGCCTCCCTTGTATGGCTGTATGTTTCCTCATGCTCCCAATTTCACAGAAGTCATTTCAGCACCAAACGGTAATTAGCAAAGGGATGGGCCTCAGCTGACATGAATGCAATTTATTGTTTTCCACGAGGCCCTGAACCCAGCAAACAAAGAACACAGTCTAGCTGTCTGGCATTTTATTAACTTGTATTGTGCAGTGCACCTTACTGAAGGGAGATCTTCAGGAGAAATTCAGCAGTTTGTGTGTGGCAACACACAGACTTCGGAAGAATATTAATTTCGGTTCAATTAGGCAACTTGTGTAGTACCTCCGCCTGTAATATAGGACAGCCACTTTTATAATTATCTTCCATATTAACTTTATCATCACCAGACTTTTGCATAAATGCAACCTTTCATCTTTAAAATGCCAACACTTCTTCAATTTTGGCAACCGTACAGCACTGCTAATTATTTGCTCATTATATGTGGTTAACTGATGAATCATTAATAAATGAATGAATGGCTAATATATTTTTATGGTAATTGGAGATATAACTGATTGCAGACTTCCTTAGCTTCTCAAAACGGCACTGAATGAGCAGTGGCTGCCTAATTGTTTACAGATGATATTTATGCCTCCACCCAGTGTTTCCCACAGTTGTGGTTTATCACTGGCATATTCTCATCAGTTCAGGGTGGTGGCTTGCTGAGGACCAGTCTGGGCAGAGGGGAGTGGGCAGCAGAGTGACCGGGCTTCCTTTCTTGTGTTTCTGTCACCTCATTTGTTTCAGCTCGGCTGACACGTAACCACATATGGGCCTCATGGCCATTTGCTAGCAATTTGAAGACTTCTTGTGGACTCTTTCCTTAGGCACTGGCTTGGCCCCAGCTAGAACACTGCTGTGGTTACCCCTAGTCCAGAACTTAGAGTCGAACGCTGACGTACAAGCATCCACGCCATTCAACTGCCACTTGTCTTGCCTGGCACATGCAAGGGGAAGGTGGCCACCCAGCCTGGTGTCTCCATGGCTGAGGAGCTAAAGGAGACCCTTTACACAGTTGGGCTAGAAACCTGGAGTTCAATTTGCACCACTGACAGAAGACCAGAAAATGAAATCAACCAGAGATCCTTAATACTATTCACTGAGTCACCATTCCATGGCTGGTTAATGGGTTTGGAAATAACTGCTGCATTACAAAAATTATATTTGTCACACTGCAAATCAGTCACCACCTGTAAGTTAATAACAAAGAGTTTGTATTTGCTGACGATTTTTGTGAAAATGAAGTATAGAATACTGGCCAAATATGACTTATTTAGCTACGTACAAACAGACGGAACAAACAGCAAGTTCGAAATGCAAAGGAGACTACCAATTTTTAATTATAATTATTTAACCAGGTGGGTAGTTTCTCCTAATGAACATTTCCATGAAAACAGAATAACTAATGACAGTCTTAAAGAAGCCTTTGTCTTTCCATGTACTAATGATCACATCTATAAATATGCAGCAAGGCCCCCGTGTACATTGCTAATGATAAGTAATTAAGCACCAGGCGTGGGAAGCCAGTGAAAAGGGTCATGTTAATGCAAGAGAGGAAATTAAAAATGCAATAAAATAAGTTGCCTAGAAAAGATTAAATAAACTTCTGGCTTCTCTTCATTCCAGAAGGAAAAGAACAGTGGTTTCCTCACTCTCACAGTAAAGCCATGTCAAGCCATTCAACAGCTGGTTACAAAGTCAGAGAGTACAAGTGCTCAGCTTACTTTCTGCCCGCATCCCCATTTGATCCCACTGGTTTGAAGGCAGAGGGCGTGGTTTCAAAGGGCACTTTGGGTCACTGGGAAAATAAGATGGACCCCTAGAAAAAGGAAGCAGTCAGCCAGGAAGGATGGATATTAGCAGATTAAACTGGATTTTGGCTGTTACTGTCAAGGTACCACTTGTTTATTAAACCATGTTGACGGACGTGGTTTTTTTCTCATCTTCCAGATGAAAAAGAGAGGACAAGATGAGTGCCTTTTCCAATACAGTAGAGTAACTTCTGTCTCTCCTCACATTGTCTGCTTCCTGACCAGACAGCGAGCTCCTGGAAGGTGAGACCATGATTCTAATACAAGACATTGCACCAGATATGATGAGTGCTTAGTAGATGCTGGTTGAATGAGTGAATTAATGGATATTCAAAATAGATCAGCTCTAAACATCACTCCCAATTCAAGCAGGCCTGCCACCCAAACATTTGGGCCCAATTGAAGGATGTGGGCCATTTTCCTCTCTCATTCAGGTACTAAGAAAGGCATTGGGTTTTTCTTCAGTGTACCATCACCAAAAGGAACAGAAAATGAAGATTTAACAAAAAATTGGTCTTTGCAAAAATCATAGAGTTGGTTATAAGACTCTTGTTCAGGGATTGAATAGGAATTCTAGCATTTCTATTAAGCATTACGATGCATAGAATGAATCAGATGCCTTATTGGCAAAAGAAAACAGACTTGTATTTGAATCACCAAAGCTCTTTAATAAGGGCAATTTTTATTCTTTCTTTAAAATGTCTTAGTGAAGCTCTTAAACCACTGAAGTTTTTTTTTTTTCTTTCAAACATTCCAGACTCATTGATCTCAAGACTCTCAAGGTTTCCCCAGCCCCACACTCTTCTCCGTGGTTAATCCCTCGGGGAGGGGAATCGAATTTTCTGTGGCTGCATCTAGGGTTAATAAGAAGGCAACCTTGATTTGAAGAAAAAGGCAGCAACAAACAAAAATTAAAGCTTGGTTGGATATTGAGGTGGTTTTTCCTTTCTGGTTTTTTGTGTTTTTTTCTTAAGTTCAAAGAAATAAATCATAAGGCAGAAAACCCAGGGCTGGATCTTTCTGCCTTGTTCTAATATTCAAAGGAATCATTTCCTTTCACATAACATCTTCAACAAGGCCACACCTCTATTGTTATCAGTGTTGTCAACGGCAAGCCTGCCTGACTGTCATAAAGGCAATATAGTGCCTGACAGTGGAACAAGGTGTGTGGGGGCCTAGATCTACCTTACAGATGAGCTGCCATGCCAACCTCCAAAGAGGACGTGGCGGGCTCCAGGGACACCTCAGGTGCGTCTCTCCCCACCTTCTCCGCAGGCCTTGTGTTTCTTGGGGCCGGCAGGGTATCTCCTCCAGAGAAAGTTCAGCCGGCGGCAGGGACACTCTACAAGCTTATCCTGACCCCCAGTGGCCGGCCCTGTCATCGGACCTACACCGGCTCCCACTCTCGCCGCCCCCTGGTTCCCTACCTAGCTAGATCCCCAGGACCCAGGCACCAGGAGTTTTAATTGACAATTAAAACAAACTTCGGTTCTCACCAGAATCGACTGAGTGAAATTTCGCAACTGCAAGTTTCACAATTCAATTCCCTTGAAGCAAAACCAACAGTTTCCCTGAGGTTTCACTCCACACCTCTCCATTTGTTGTTTAACTTCCCCCTCAAGTTTCCCTTCCCACACAGAATTTTATTTGAGAGTCAGGCCTGGAAACGGTTTAATTATGTTCCTGGGGGTCCCCGCCTCGTGCCTGCCCCGGCGCTGAGTCAGCATCTCCGCGCAGCCAGGATGGGAAGGGAGCGCGCTCCCGGCCCAGGTCCGGAGGTGGGTATTTATGGCTTCGGCTGTCCCGCCTGCCGGTCAAGCTGTTTCATTTCGTCAGCCCCCGAAATCAAACAACCTGAAATAAAGCTTCCGTGCCCGTGAATAGAATGGAGTCAGCAAACATTTCTGACCCTGGTCGTAGCGTTACCGGATTTAGCCAGCAAAAATACTGGGCGCCGGGGGGACAGATTTATACTGAAATCGTTGTTGTTTATCTATCTGAAGTTCAAATTTAACTCGAGGTTGTCGTTTTTTTAATCTCTTAACCCCACCACATGAAGAAAAGAGAGGCTCTGTTTTATGGTTTTACAGATCAGCTTTGATCAGGCCCTTGGATCAGGCACCCACTCTTGGTGCCCCCTAAGAGTTAGGTGAGGGTTTTTTTTTTAATCAGAAGGAAAATAGAGCGTGGATTTTTTCTGGTGGCCACCCAGAAGGGTAGGCATTGGCCCATTTCTCAGATTTCAGTCCTTGACAGGATAGAAGTGACTACATTCTGAATTGCTAGCTTGTACATGCTGACATGTAAAAAAAGGTTTAAAAAAAAAGTTTTGCATTACTGTTATCTTCCTTTAAAAAAGTGCTATGGTCTTGGGAATACTGTATGTATCTGTTACCGACAGCTCTGAAAACGACTTCTGCAAAGCTTGTCAGTTAAACCAAATGTTAAATGGAAAAAATTTGGCGGGATTTAAAATTAGACCCACACACATTACTTACAGATGTTTCCATGAAAAACACTTGAAACTGAACCACACCAAGTAATAAACCCCACAATGGTGTATTTTTTATACCCCAAGTTAATTTTTATGATATAAGTAGCTATATGAAGAAGGTATTGCATACTGCTTAAATTAAATACGGAGGAATGAAATCAGCAGTATCCCTTTACAGCATATGGCCCAGCAAATCAAATTACAAAGCTTTCCACATCTCATTAACTGCAATGAGTACAGTGAGTTTTCTAATAAGTCACATCTTTTTCATGTGAGTGGTGAGCAGTGACTTATTGTAAGAATTCACAGGATGACCCTTGTGCTGAAATTAAGAACTAATCTAAAATGGGCAGGGTCATCTGGTCAAGACTGATCATAACATTTCCTCATTATTGTTTTAGTTGGCATTGAAGTATATGTTTTCCTGGTGCTCCAGCTGAAAAATGCCTTTGATAATTTCACTGACAGCGCATAACCCACACACTGCCATTTAATGAGTTCAGGCAGGATTAGCTGACAGTAAAGAATATAGTATAAATGTTTTTATTAGAACTGATTTATTTTTTAGCTGCAAAAAAAAAAAATCTGAAGAAGTCACACGGAAATGCTGAGCTGACTTCTCCCCTTGTGATAGTCCTGGAGGTGATGCAGGTGAAGGGCAGGAGGTACATGGAGCCCAAGTTTCGCCAAAGACAGTTTGCATTTGGGCTGCAAACGGTCAAAGGCAAATACCAGCTGGAACCCACACTCAGATGTCGGGTTCCTCTTTTGCACAACAAGGAAAAAAATACTTCTACAATTGCTCATCATGTGGCCTTTGGTGGAGATGAATTACCAATTTACAACCTCTTGTGTTTGGAGAGAAGCAAACTGTGCTCTTTTGAGGCAAGAATCAGGAACCTAAAATCATTCAAGCCTTCTTGTTTATAAGGCCAGAGTGAGGCCAAAAATCCATTTCCCCCTGTGCTCTAAGCCCTTTCAATGACGAGACTCTCACCATCTGCGCTAATAAATATGGACTGGTGTGTATATAACCATAGACTGAGGAGCGGGGAAGAGTGAAAGGATTTTAAATGGTTCCAAATTGCTCTCCCACTGAGATAACAGCAGTTTGCATGTGAGCCTCAGTTGTTGCACATTAAGAATGGGCATTTGGCTTCTTTTCACACAGCTGTGAGAGAAGTAGATTTCTGAACGACCAGAGAGAAAACGGGTCTGTTGTTCTTAGGGACACAGGCTTGCTAGTGGCATCTTGCCCAGAAGCTCTGTCTTCCCAGCTCCAACCATGGGGATGACAGACAGGATAAGCAGACCCAGTCCCCGGCACTGGAAGTACTGGGATCCCTGGAACTGGTGAGGTGAGCCCTGAGATGGAAGCCACATCTCCAGTGCTCAACAGAGACCAAAGGGGTCATAAACAGAGGCAAGGGTAGAAGGCTGATGTAGCCTAGCAGGTAAAAAGTTATCCTTGAAGTCAAGGCGAGTTTCCTAGGACAATCTGGGAGCTTAAAACTGACTCTTAGACCCAAGTGGTCATGGAAAAATCTGTTTTAGGAAGATACAGAAGACAACTTTAAGAAGATGGTGTAGGGTTGACGGGACCCCAGCAGTGATCTGCAGCCTAAGAAAAGCACCCAGGGCTGAGACTCAGAGGTTACCTCCCAGACAGAAAGAAGTGACTCCCTGTTCTCAGCAAAATGTAATAAGAACCTGGGGGAGCTTCAGCATGACTAATCAGTTAATCATGGAAGAGTCGCAGGAGCTGAGGAACAGACACGGGGACTGGAGTGCCCTGCTCATCAGAAAGTGCAGGTAGTAAACACTCAACACCATGAAAAGACCTTCCGTCCAAATGCTGTGAAAGATGCGCTCCAATAGAAGGCAACCTACCCCAGGGTGGGAAGGTGGAACTCAAGTCACCCACCTCCCCACTCAGGTGGGGAAATGTGAGGGCAGTGGGCCCTGGGAAGCCAGGGGGACTCTGAAGCATAGAGTCCAAGGAGAGGATGGAGACAGGAACTGAAACTGAGCAAAGGGTCAGCTGCTGGGACCAGGCCCGGTAGACAAAGGCGAGCAAGACCAGTGAGGAGGGACAACTCTCAAGAAGCATGTGTGGCTAAACCCATAGGAGGAGAAGGAGCTAGTGGGGGGCAAGCCTCCAGGAATGCCCAAGGCAAAATGCTGGTGGTGGGCTAGCTAGCATGCGTGCTCAGTGTCCAACTTGTTGCAACCTCATGGACTATAGCCCACCAGGCTCCTCTGTCCATGGAATTTTCCAGGCAAGAATAGTGGAGGGGGTTGCCATTTCCTCCTCCAAGGAATCTTCCAAACCCAGGGATCAAATCAGTGTCTCTTGTGTCTCCTGCTCTGGCAGACAGATTCTTTACCACCGTGCCACCTGAGAAGCTAGCTGAGGGTGGGGGAGGGATTAAATCAATCTATAAAATACAGTCTTTCTCACCCAATCCCTGGTGAGAAGCAGTTAGTGTTAACCACCCAAAGCAACCGTTCAGAAAAATTGTGGGTGGTCCGCTCATTGTGTTATTGTATGCCTTCTCAATGAAGCCCGTATTAGAGTCTCTATCATCTAATTTCACCCTTTTAGTTGTAATTGAACCTGCCAAGCCTTCAGTTACACAGGCCCTGGCTATTTACCTGGAACCTAGACAAGGGCAATCCCTTAGTATTGCTAGGTAACAATAACAAACCAACAAATATTTGCACAGCCTTACTGTTTTCTAAAGTGTTGTCATAACGTTTCTCATTTGCCTTTCATTACTATGCTGTGAAGAAGGCAACTCAGCTGTAGCTAGGAAGTTAAAGAGCCAGATCTCAGACCTAAGACTTCAGATGCCAAGCCTGGTGTAATTCTTATCTCAGCAAATAGCTTTTATGTACTTCTCAGATAACATTGAAATGCAGCCTGGCAGCCTGAGGAAACACCTAGGTTCTACTCTTGAGAGAATACTTTCAAGGCTTAAGGCAAAGTTCTTCAGAAGAAACCAACCTCTCTTTGTTTCCCTCAGAATAACTTGTATGTGCTGGACCTTTTGTCTATTCCTCCCCGACTGGGACAGGCAGAGTAGTATTGCCAAGATGTCATTCTTAGGACAGATAACTTGGAGGGCCCGCCCCGTCCCCAGCTTGGTAGCTGCTCATTGACTGTGCTTGGAATCAGAGCCATAGTTGCTTTTGTGTCACAAAAAGAACATGAGCGAAAAAACAATCATGTCCAGTCCAGACCTGAATGACCCACAGATGACCAGCACAGCCTTTAAAGCAGCATCAACCAGGGGAGCGACTGGCCCTGGTGCCCTCTGTGTGCATCTTCACCTTTCTTCCCCCATTCCCTCCTCTTTATTCCATCTCCACTATCAGTGATGCTCA